GGGTTCAGGTTGCGGAGGTTGCGGCTGGTGATGGTTTGGCGTTTTTGAGGGGGGGAGTTGGGGGAAGGGGAGATGGAGAAGGTGAGGGGGGGTGGTGGGGAGAGAGGGAAGGGGGTGGGGAGAGAACTGGTTGAGGGGTGTTCCCTCCGAAGTGGGTGGAGGATTGAGTGTGCTGTTGTGTGAGCGCGAAGGAGGAGGTTAGGTGGAGGAATTGGGAAAGTAGCCGGGGTGTTGTCGTTGATGGGGATGTTGAAGTCCCCGAGGATGATGGTCGGTAGCTCAGAGGGGAGGAAGAAGGGGGAGCCAGGCGGCGAAGTCATCCAGGAAGCGGGCTATGGATCCGGGAGGCCTGTAGATCACTGCGATCCTTAGGGGGGGTGGGTGAGAAGAGTCGGATGCAGTGCGCCTCAAAGGAGGAGAAGGAAAGAGAGGGTGGGTTAGGGAGGACCTGGAAGGTGCTAAGCGGTGATAGTGGCAAGCCGACACCACCACCTCTGCGATCGCTCAGTCTACTTGTGGAGAATGACTCACAACACACTGAGCAACCACACTGACTGAGATCTGCTATTTCTGTTGGTTTTCAGTGATCATTTTTGTACCTGGAATGTTGTGATTGTCATTTAGTTTGTCAGATTTTGCTAAATTTTTTCCAAATCTTTGTCTAGGTTTCCTGAAAAACTGCTTATGGCCAAGTCTAGCACTCATACAGTTGGGTACTGAAAAAGCTTCAACATGCACTTCCAACCTGCTGTTAAGTGTTTCCTACTAGTGTTCAATATACACCCCAATGTTTGCTGGCATGACATTATATTGCACCAGCAGGATTGATTAGGCTACATCTGCATAGTGACTTAAACTGAAGCATATACTCACCAGCTTCTTTATTAGGTATACCTATTCAATTATTTCGTAACACAAATTGCTAATCAGCCAATCACATGACAGCAAGTCAATGCATTTAGGCATCTAGATGTGGTGAAAACAACTTGCTGAAGTTCAAACTTTGCATCAGAATGGGAAAGAAAGAGGACTTAAGTGACTTTGAAAGTGGCATGGTTGTTTTGCCAGCTGGGCTGGTCTGTGTATTTCAAAAACTGCTGATCTATTGGGATTTTCATGCACAACCATCTCTAGGGTTTACAGAGAGTAGTCCAAAAAAGAGATGTTATGTGGATGAAAATGCCTTGTTGATGTCAGAGGTCAGAGGAGTATGGGCAGACTAGTTGCTGTGATGTTCAGGGTCAGAATTCGGCATGAACAACATAAAAGCATGGATCCATCTGGTTCAGGCTGGTGGTGGTGTAATGGTGTGGGGGATATTTTCTTGGCACTAGCTAGGTGTACCCAATAAAGTGGCTAGAGAGTATATGCTGTCCACATCCAGTACCCATATGTATGAGACCTGAGAGAGTGTTCGTTCAAAGTGAAAAAAGTCATTTTTACAGAAAAACAGTAATATGTACTCACCACCACAAGATGGTACTGCAGCTTCTGCAAGTCTGCTGGCTCTAGGGACTACTGCAGAAAGAGAGAAAAAAAAATGATCTTTTCATATTTTACCTTTGTTTCAGTCAAATAAACACTTGGATAAATCAGACACCATGTGCTGTGGCTGCACAACGAAAGTCAACCATAAAATCTGAATTTATTACCTCTTTTGCTGCTATAATAGCTAAGCAACTAACATTGTCTCATATATCAAAAAATCCTGTCTGGTGCTTCAGACACCAGTGTGGAACCCAGCAGAAGACTGGTATGCCTGCTGAGTCTCCTGCTTGTCTTTAATCCAGCCACTACAATTTTATATTGATATTATAAATGTTCCAGTCGATAAACATGAAGCTTGCTGTTTTACCATCTCATGGTGGAGCTGATACTTCTAGACAGGTAGTGTTGATAGATATTACAAACAGTGTACTGTTAAATTTTGTCCGATGCACTCCAGAACAAGACAATTTTTCTGAGTAGAACATCAGTTTAAAGATGAATTCCAGGTATGGATATTTTATACATACACTATATTACTAAAAGTATTGGGACGCCTGCTTTTACATGCACATGAACTTTAATGGAATCATAATCTTAGTCCATAGGGTTCAATATTGAGTTGACCCAACCTTTGCAACTATAACAGCTTCAACTCTTCTGGGAAGGCTGTCCACAAGGTTTAGGAGTGTGTCTATGGGAATGTTTGACCATTCTTCCAGAAGCGCATTTGTTGAGATCTGGCACTAATGCCAGACGAGAAGGCCTGGCTCGTAGTCTCCGCTCTAATTCATCCCAAACGTGTTCTATTAGGTTGAGGTCAGGACTCTGTGCAGGCCAATCAAGTTCCTCCACCCCAAACTTGCTTATCCATGTCTTTATGGACCTTGCTTTGTGCACTGATGAGCAGTCATGTTGGAACAGGAAGGGGCCATTCCCAAACTGTTCCCAAAAAGTTGGGAGCACGGAATTGTCCAAAATGTCTTGGTATGCTGATGTCTTAAGAGTTCCCTTCACTGGAACTAAGGGGCCAAATCCAACCCCTGAAAAACAACCCCTCACCATAATCCCCCCTCCACCAACTTTACACTTGGAACAATGCAGTCAAGTACTGTTCTTCTGGCAACCGCCAAACCCAGACACATCCATTGGATTGCCAGACAGAGAAGAGTTAATCATCACTCCAGAGAACACATTTCCACTGCTCTAGGAGTCCAGTGGCGTTGTGCTTTACACTATTGCATCTGACGCTTTGCATTGCTGTAAGCCATGTACCGGGGTGGGCTCTCCAGGATACAGTGAAGTCACGAACAAGGAAAGCAACCTCAACACCAGCTTTTGCCACAACAGAATTTTACTTAGATGTGGCGATAAAAACACAACCACAAATGCTGGAAACATACAATAAATTTACATACACCCAGCCCAAAGGCTGAGACCCTTGTGCTGCACAGCACGGCGCCTTCTGATGGATGAAGGTAGAAAGTGAAGTAATTTACCGACTGGCGGGCACAACTAAGCTGCCACACCTTACCCGTTATTACCCTAAAAGAGCAGGAATCAGTGTATGGGTGTATGGTATGGGCTAGCCTGTGGTGCAGCACAACAGCTTGCAATCTTACACAAATCTACAGTATTCCCTCTCCCATAACTGCTCCTGTAACACGTGCCTGAGCATTTCTTCTGAGCAAAACGCCAGTCTGGCTTGAGTTTGTGGGATTTTATCAGCTCTCCAATGTAAAATGTCACTTTAAGTTGTGGAGTCCTTCCAATGATCAGTAATAACACTTGTGGCCCGACACAAACAGAGACCCTAACTAGAAAGATAAATAAACCAAGCGCTAGGTGTCAGTGAAGGAAGGGATGGTTAGCAGCTGACATAGGAAGTAAACCTCTAAAACTTCAAGTGGTACATAAACGATAAAAATATGCAGTGCTATAAGATAGATGAGTAAATAACAAATACTAGAAAGTCAGATAAAATATGAAGCTTCTAGGTTAACATAACGTATTAACGTGACTTCTGTGATATATCGGCGTCTGGAAGACTGGAATGCTCGTGACTCTTGTGGTTATAAACTGAGAGTAGATTGCACTAACCGGATGCATATGCAAATGAAGCATGGAGTAATTAAGACCTACTCCTAGTACTCTGGAAGTAGGTCACTGGATAGGTAGTTGTCATCTCAAAACTTGCCACTAGGTGTCATATCTCCCAGGACAGGCAAAGGCAGGAAATCCACAGATGACAGCAGCAGCCAAACGAGGTGTTAGCCAGGATATCAGCCAGCAGGCGGACAGGAAATATATAGCCACCTTCAAAAAAGGCCCAGGCTCCCTCAGTATAAGAAAAGGAGCCACAGGCCAGAAGCCCCCCAGATATCTTCACTCATTGCATGGCCATTGCTGGACGGCCACTTTTTGTAAGTGGTTTTTTTTTACAACTGTTTTTTATTATACCAATAAAACCCTGCTACACTATCAAAGCTTCTGGCCTGTGGCTCCTGCCTTTGCCTGTCCTGGGAGATATGACACCTAGTGGCAAGTTTTGAGATGACAACTACCTATCCAGTGACCTACTTCCAGAGTACTAGGAGTAGGTCTTAATTACTCCATGCTTCATTTGCATATGCATCCGGTTAGTGCAATCTACTCTCAGTTTATAACCACAAGAGTCACGAGCATTCCAGTGTTCCAGACGCCGATATATCATAGAAATCACGTTAATACGTTATGTTAACCTAGAAGCTTCATATTCTATCTGACTTTCTAGTATTTGTTATTTACTCATCTATCTTATAGCGCTGCATATTTTTATCGTTTAGAGACCCTAACTAACTAAGTATAGGCCTGGACTCAGTCTCTAGGCGCCAACACTGAAATGAGGTGTGTGCACGATCTTACCGACCCGGGTCTGCTTTGTATCCGCTGGTGACTCTGAACAGAACAAATGTCTCTCCAACAAGCATGCGGCTTCGCAGTGTATGTTGCTTTGTTCCTCTGCTCTCATCAGCATTCCTGGCAGCAATCTTCCTTTCTCTGAACAGGATCAGGGTCTCAGACACGATCAGTTTCACTTAGCTGCAGCTCTGGTTACTGAGGGATACTCTTAGACGTGGATGACATCAGATTCTCTGCTCACATGGCTCCTGCATTCACCATCCTCTAAAACATGGCTGCTTTCTCTCCTCTTCCTGTTCTCTAAACTCTGTGTGAAAAACCCCACCTCTTCATGAATATAGAAATATCTATGCAGTCTGAGGCTGTGTTAGGAAAACAGTGGCATCTTGTGGCTAAACCACAGAATGTCACTCCAGAACATTTTATTTACTCCACACAATAATTTACTGCACACAAACTGTTCAAACAATGAGAGCTTTTTCCCCATCTCACATTGCACTTGGTGATATAAGGCTTGGATGCAACTGCCATTCCATTCCATTCCGTTCTGTACACACTGTTGTTGTGCTATTCTGAAAGTCACATGAAGTTTGGAGGTCTTTAGCTATTGACTCTGCAGACAGTTGGCAACTTCTGCACACTGTGCACTTCTGTATGCACTGACCCCACTCTGTCAGTTTACGTGGCCTACCTCTTCGCTTGCTGTTGTTCCCAGTTGCTTCCACTTTATTATAATATCACTAACAGTTGACTGTGGAATATTTAGTAGCAAGGAAATTTCACGGATGATCATATTGCACAGGTGGCAGTCTATAACCGTACCATGCTTTAATTCACTGAGCTCATGAGAGCGACCCATTCTTTCACTAATGTTTGTAGAAGCAATCTGCATGCCTAGGTGCTTGATTTTATACACCTGTGGCCATGAAGGTGATTGGAACACCTGAATCCCATGATTTGGAGAGGTGTCCCAAAACGTTTGGCAATACAGTGTATGTATAATATATCCATACGTAGATTGCTCTTTAAATAAATGTCACACCCTCTCAGATAGACTGCTAGCTAAGTTAGGCAAATTTAGCTCTGTGGCTCTCCTGTAATTAGTAGAGCTGCTTGTGATTACTTTAGGCTGCTCTGGCTTTGCAGGCTGCAAGTTTGATTGCTTCCCCCTGTCTTCTGGAGACTTCCAGAATATGGTGGGTGAGTGATTCAAATGAGAAGTCTGAATATTTCTGCAATGCCAGCCAATCCCTGGGGGAAGGTGCCCAGATGGTGGCTGGGAGAGTGTATAAATAGTTTGGAGTCTCCTCTTTCCTAGGAGGAGAGGTTCCCAGCCAGAAGGGCTACTGCCTTTCTTGGCAGTCCACTATAGATTCTGCTAGTCCCATCAAAGTCCCAACTGTGCATATTTGGGGGGCCTGTTTTGCTGCACTTTCTTTGAGAGATAAAAGAGGGATTTCATCAATGATCCAGTCTGGAAGTTTCGCTGAGGAGACTGTCTGCCTGAGTCTGGAAGAGGACATCTAAGGCCCAGGAACTCTGTGAGTACGGACCTGAGAGAAGGATCCTAGTGACTGTGTCTGCTGTTAAAAACTGGTGCACTAATATTAAGGTTTACCTGGCCTGGGATATTGCTGATGGTGTCCTGGTGCTGTCTACTTTATGTACTTTTGCTGAAGGGACTGTTATGAGATGAAGCTGCTAAAAGGAGAGTGTCCTCACATTCGTGTTCAGTGTTCCAGAGTATCCCACAGCTTCCCTAAGCCCTATCAAAGTTAATAAACTTTAAAATGGCAACCTCTAGACCAGGGGTGGGCAAACTTTTTGACTTGAGGGCCGCAATGGGTTCATATATTGGACCCGGACCAAGAGTAGATGAATGATGTGTATGTGTCATCCATAGTAAGTATAGTAATATTCCCCCATAGTAAGCATAGTAATTAATCCCCCATATAGTAATTCATCCCCCATAGTAATTCATCTCCCATATAGTAATTCATCCCCCATAGTAATTCATCCCCCATATAGTAATTCATATAGTAATTCCCCCCATATAGTAATTCATCCCCCATATTTAGTAATTCATCCCCCATAGTAATTCATCCCCCATATAGTAATTAATCCCCCATATAGTAATTCATCCCCCATATAGTAATTCATATAGTAATTCATCCCCCATAGTAATTCATCCCCCATAGTAGTAATTCATCCCCCATATAGTAATTCATCCCCCATAGTAATTCATCCCCCATATAGTAATTCATCCCCCATAGTAATTCATCCCCCATATAGTAATTCATCCCCCATAGTAATTCATCCCCCCCCTATAGTAATTCATCCCCCATATAGTAATTCATCCCCCATAGTAATTCATCCCCCATATAGTAATTTAATTCATCCCCCATATAGTAATTCAGTAATTCATCCCCCATATAGTAATTCATCCCCCATAGTAATCATCCCCCATATTAATTCATCCCCCATATAATTCATACCCCCCATAGTAATTCATCCCCCATAGTAATTCATCCCCCATATAGTAATTCATCCCCCATATAGTAATTCATCCCCCATATAGTAATTCATCCCCCATAGTAATTCCCCCCCCATAGTAATTCATCCCCCATAGTAATTCATCCCCCCCATAGTAATTCATCCCCCCTATAGTAATTCATAGTAATTCATCCCCCATAGTAATTCATCCCCCATCCCCCATAGTAATTCATCCCCCCTATAGTAATTCATCCCCCCCATATAGTAATTCATCCCCCATAGTAATTCATCCCCCATAGTAATTCATCCCCCATAGTAATTCATCCCCCATAGTAATTCATCCCCCATAATATCCCCCATAATAATTCATAGTAATTTATCCCCCATATAGTAATTCATCCCCCATCCCCCATATAGTAATTAGTAATTCCCCCCAATAGTAATTCATCCCCCATATAGTAATTCATCCCCCATAGTAATTCATCCCCCATATAGTAATTCATCCCCCATATAGTAATTCATCCCCCCATAGTAATTCATCCCCATCCCCCATAGTAATTCATCCCCCATATTAATTCATCCCCCCATATATAGTAATTCATCCCCCATAGTAATTCATCCCCCCCTATAGTAATTCATCCCCCATAGTAATTCATCCCCCATAGTAATTCATCCCCCCTCATAGTAATTCATCCCCCATAGTAATTCATCCCCCATATCCCCCATAGTAATTCATCCCCCATAGTAATTCATCCCCCATAGTAATTCATCCCCCATAGTAATTCATCCCCCATAGTAATTCATCCCCATAGTAATTCCCCCCATAGTAATTCATCATCCCCCATATATAATTCATCCCCCATAGTAATTCATCCCCCATATAGTAATTCATCCCCCCATAGTATTCATCCCCCATTCATCCCCCCCATAGTAATTCATCCCCCATAGTAATTCATCCCCCATCCCCCATAGTAATTCATCCCCATAGTAATTCATCCTCCATAGTAATTCATCCCCCCTATAGTAATTCATCCACCATAGTAATTCATCCCCCATATAGTAATTCATCCCCCATAGTAATTCATCCCCCATAGTAATTCATCCCCCATATAGTAATTCATCCCCCATAGTAATTCATCCCCCATAGTAATTCATCCCCCATATAGTAATTCATCCCCCATAGTAATTCATCCCCCATATAGTAATTCATCCCCCTATTAATTCATCCCCCTATAGTAATTCATCCCCCATAGTAATTCATTCCCCATATTAATTCCCCCCCCATATTAAGTCCCCAAGTCCCCCCTGTGTCAATTCACTTACCTTTGCTCCGCGCGTTCCTCTCGCCGGGTTCCCGCGCCGTTCCGGTGTAGCATGAAAATCTGTCTCCTATGAGGATCTGTCCCCCTCGACGTATCTGCGCATGTGCCAGTTTCAGGCATTAGCAGCCGATCGGCGATCTCCGGCACATGCGCAGATACGTCGAGGGGGACAGATCCTCATAGGAGACAGATTTTCATGCTACACCGGTCTTCAGGGCGGACTGTGAGAGGAGCCTAGCGGGAGCCTAGCTCCGCGGGCCGGATTAAAAGGTCCGCCGGGCCGTATACGGCCCGCGGGCCGTAGTTTGCCCATTGCTGCTCTAGACTGTTTACTGAGCCAAAGGAAATTAAATGTTGCTGTTTGCCTGGCTGCCGCTACACTAGTGGGAAAAGAACCTGGGACACAAATTGGTGGCTCTTTCGGGGGTTAGTGCTACATAAAAATACATCCATACTAACAAAAATAGCACTTAGAGACATTTGGGTAAATTACTAAAACTGGAGAATGCTAAATCTGGTGCAGCTGTGCATGGTAGCTAATCAGCTTCCAACTTCAGCTTGTTCAATTAAGCTTTGCCAAAAAAGACGATGCTGATTGGTTTCTATGCAGAGCTGCACCAGATTTTGCACTCTGCAGTTTTAGTAAATCAACCCTATTGCAGTAAAATCATCTATGAATCAACCTAATCAGGAGCCTAGGGTCAGTGGATGTCCAGATATAATATCCATTCTCCTGCAGTAAACCAGGGGATAGTGCAACTGGATCAAAACTGTGCCTCTGCTTGTCACTCCACAAAGGAGGATGTTTGTCCTTCAATTGGCATCTGATGAGTGGGCTGAGCTGGTATAGACAATGCAAATATGGTGGCTCCTACATGTTCTATGTGTTGCACATTTTCACCTTTTCAATATTATTATTATTATACAGTATTTGTATAGTGCCAAAAGTTTGCACAGCGCTGTACATTATAATGGGAGACAGTACAGTAAGAATACAATACGATACACGAGGGGTTCGAGGGCCCTGCTCCTTGGAGCTTACAATCTAGGAGGGAGGGGAGAGTGGTACAGGAGGAAATAGCTGTGGGGGATGGAGTAGTGGGAAGAGCGGAGGAGATCAGCAATTAGGTGAGGGCTAGGTAGGCTTCTCTGAAGAGATGGGTTTTCACGGTGCTCCTAAAGGTGAGGAGGGAAGGTGACAGTATGACAGATTGGGGTAGTGAGTTTCAGAGGATGGGGGAGGCCCTAGAGAAGTCCTGGAGTCGGGAATGGGAGGAGACCAGGGAACTGGAGAGTAGGAGGTCTTGTGAGGAGCGGAGAGTGTGTTTTGGGTGGTAGATGGATATAAGGTCGGTGATGTATTTTGTGGCAGTGTTATGAACAGCTTTGTACTTCAGTGTCAATATTTTGAATTTCATGTGTTGGGCAATCGGAAGCCAGTGGAGGGATTGGCAGAGGCAGATACAGAGCGGTTGGTGAGGTGGATGAGTCTGGCCGCAGAATTCAGGATAGACTGAAGCGGTGATAGCCTGTGTTGCGTTAGGCCGGCGAGGAGGGAGTTGCAGTAGTCAAGTCGTGATATGATAAGGGAGTGAATTAGTTTCTTTGTGGTTTCAGGAGTTAGGAACGTGCGCAATAGAAGGCATATTGGATCTGCATTACTGGGCTATATGACTGACAATGGATTTACACCGTGGGACTTTTTTTTTTTTATAAAATACATTATCACAGTGTGTGTTTTACTTTTCTTTTGTGAATGAATGACCTCTGATGTCTCATTAAAGAGAAGCTGTCACAACAAAATTGTAATCCAAAGGGGACTTTCAGTTTCATATGTGATAAAAAAACAAAGTTTTGTGAAAAAAAGTGTAAAAATAAAACGCTTGTTTTAGGTTTATGTTTCAATTCCATCTAATTATGGTTGACATACATGCTATAAAAAACAACAGTATATAGATTATTTCCTGTTGTCTCTTATAAGTCCTTTCCAGGCTAAATTGGCCAAAAACAGAACAACAGCTTGCGTAGCAAACCCGATGTACACACAATGCTGCATATCTACAGCTCTGCACAGATTTGAGTATTTCCATCAATTTTGTGG